TCTTGCCTTTCTCTGTCTGGCCTGGTGCCCCCTGGTCCAGCCCACCTCAGCACTCCCTCCCTTCCTGGGCTGGCTTTGCAGTCTAGGGTGTGCTTGCCCTACACGTTTTGCATGCTGAGCTCCTTCCACGTCGACCACCCAAACAGCCCACTCTGTTTCAAAAGTGGACAAGAAGTGGGGGTCTCAAAAAGTCAGCAGGAAAGTTCCAGAACTCAGACCAGCCCCCCCCCCCCCCCCCTGCCCTGATCTACAAAACATGGGCCAAGGGGATTTGATACACAGCTGTCCACTGAGCTCCTACAGTGTGCCAGGCACTGTCCAGAGAGGGGGACAGAGAAATGTGAGAACACACGACCTGAGCCCCCGGGCAGGGTGGATACCGGGCAGGGTGGCAGAAACTTACAAGCAGACAAAGAGTGGGGGCATAGTTCAACGGACACACAATAGCCCAGCTCTCAGCACCCCACCCGGCAGGTCAGGGGAAGGCTGCCTTCCGACACCGGCTGCCCTGCATGGTGGAGGTGTGAACCAGGAGGGCACCCAGCGGTCAAGAAGCCGCCTTGTTGGACAGGACCCGCCTTCAGCCTGTGTTCCCATCTGCTAGCTCAGGCCACTGAGCACCACCAGGAACAGGACATGAGCCTCCAGGCCTATCCCATTTGTATGCCCATCTTTTTTTTTAAATTATTATTCTGGTAAAATATACATAACAAAAAAATTACCGTTTTCGAGTGCACAGTCCAGCGGCATTAAGCATATTCTCATTGTTGTGCAGCCATCCCCACCATCGGTCTCCAGGACTTTCTCATCTTCCCAAACTGAAGCTCTGTCCCCACTGAACACTCACCCCGTCCCCTCTTCAGCCCCTGGCACCACCATCCCCCTTCCTGTCTCTGTGGGTTGACGATTCCTGGGACCTCAGATAAGTAGAATGCTACAGGATGTGTCCTTCTGTGACTGGCATATGTCACTTGGCCTAATGTCCTTAAGTGCATCCGTGTTGTAGCACGTGTCAGATGTTCCTTCTTTTTTAAGGCTGAGTAACATTCCAGTGAATGTACGTGCTGCATTTTCTTTATCCATTCATCCATCACTGGACACTTGGGTTGCTTCCAGTTTTTGGCTCTTGTGAATGATACTGCTGTGAACACAGGTGTAATATATCCGAGTCTCTCTTTCTTTTTAAATGATTGGCACCTGAGGTAACATCTGCTGCCAATCTTCTTTCCCCCCCTCCTTCTTCTTCTCCTTAAAGCCCCCCACTGTATAGTTCTGTATTCTAGTTATGAATGCCTCTGGTTGTGCTATGAGGGACGCCGCCTCAGCATGGCCTGATGAGCGGGGCCATGTCGGCGCCCAGGATCTGAACCGGCGAAACCCTGGGCCGCAGAAGCGGAGCGTGTGAACTTAAGCACTCGGCCACGGGCCGGCCCTGGAGCCTCTGCTTTTACCTCTTTGGGGTGTACAGCCAGATGCAGACTTGCCGCGTCGGATGGTAACTCTCTGTTCAGTTTTGTGAGGGACTGCCGCACTTGTTTCCGCAGCAGCCGCTCCAGGGACACGGTGCAGGCGGAGCTGACGTGGTGGCTCCAGAACTGGATTTGGGGTGGGAGGTAAAGTAAGTGTCCCAGATGCCTCTGAGCTTCCGACGCCCAGTGGCGCCCTATCTTGAGACGGGAAGAGAGCCCCACTTGAGGGGTGGTGACGGGGACCTGGAGTCCCGTTTGGCCGTGATAAGGTTGATGGGCCTTCCGTGGGGATGGCCCGTGAGTGGTTGGGTTTCCAAGTCCAGAGGTCCACAGAGAGGTGGAGGCTGGAGACAGGACGGGGCTAGCAGCACGGGTACGGCAGCTGATGCTCCATGCCAGGCAGGACCTCCCGGGCGGTGAGTGTGGCACAGCAGAGTCTGAGACCACGCCTGGTGCCTGCGACATGTGTGTTAGGAGGAGGGAGAGCAGAGGCAGGTGTGGCCATGAAAAGAGACCAAAGAGCAGAGCGCAGCTGCTGCTGCCAGGTGAGGTGGGACGAGGACGGTGAACACGAGATCAGGGCTGCCAAGAGCCCAGAGCCTTTGCTAGGAGAAGTTCCCATGGGGCAGTGAGGCGAAAGGCTGGCCAGGGAGGGTGAAGAAAGAACGGGCGAAGGGGTGGAGGGTGTGGGTATAGGCGAGTTTTTCAAGGTTTTCTCTAGAGGGAAGATGAGAACGGGAGGGAGCCGAAAGGCAAGTGTCACAAGAAAAATATGAATGAGGGACAGACATAGCACTGCTGCATTCCTCGGTGGGCATCCTGCTCTGATCACGGCCGCTCCTCCCTGCTCACCTCGCCCAGCACACGCCTTACCTGCGCAGGCCTCGGCCGGCGCCCCTCGCTCACCTAACAGGTGAAAACTGGAGTCTCGGGACGATCTTTATCGGCATTGCTCTTACTAGAGTGAGGTTGAATGCCTTTCAGCATGAATAGTCTCCTATCCCTGGCCCTTTTAAAAAATTCAACTGTTGCTCTTATTTATATCATAGGAGCCATTATTAAGGAATTTAGGGCTTTCTGTGATATAAGTTGCAAACCTATAGTTTTTCCCATTTGTTTCTTTTCATTTTGTTTGCATTTTTTTTAACCATACATAAAATTTTCCATCTTCATTGGGTCATATGTATTTGTCTTCATTTTGGGCTTAAAAAATTCCTTAAAAACGAGATCTTTTGTCAAATTTAGGCTTTCCCCGTTCAAGATTTAAAAATCTCTTTCTATGTTTTATCCTGGTTGCTTTCTATTTTTGTTTAATTTTCTTATTTTGAATAGGTAGTACACTTACATGGTTCAAAAACAAAAATGATGCTTGGGGTTACACACTGGGATGCGTCACTTCCGCCTGGTCCTTGCCGACCTCTCCCAGCTCCTGGCTCCCGCAATAACCGTGTTTGCTCATTGCTTGTGCAGACTTTTAGGCTTATTCTGTAAATAGAAGCAAATATGGTTATACCTCCTCTCACCTCCTTTCTCATGCAAAAGGTTTGTACTGTTCCAGACTTCGCTTGAAATGTAACCCGTACGTCCTGAGAGCGGCCCCATTCTTTTCTTCACAGCGGCATAGCACACCCATGCTGCACGCACCACCCTTGAGTGAATCAGCCCCCTGTGGGTGAATACCGGGGTTGTTTCCAGTCTTTTCTCTTACAAACAAAGCCTTTGTGAACGACCTTGTCCCTCTGTCATTCCACGTGTGGGCAGGTGACTCTGTAGTGTAGACAGACCCCAGAAGTGGGTTTGTCAGGTCAGATGCTAAGTGAGTCTGACTCTGGTAGATACTGCCAGATCTCCCTTCGTATGTGGCTCCATCCTTTTCCTCTCCCTACAGCAGTGTTTCTCAGCCTCCTACCCCCTGATTATGGCACTGTAAGGAGAAAAATTAGACTGAATTTAAATTGTCCCTGAAGACAAATCACTAAATACTAAGGAATAAGATTTTGTTGGGTAAGGTTAAGCTTTGGAAGGCCACAGACTGTTAATATCTAAGATTTTTTCCACATGGCCCATTTTCACCTTGTTAGGGACGATATCCCTCCCCTCCTCCCTACTCCTGCCTCTGCCCTCAGAATGCAGGTCTGAGCCGGCCTCTGGAGTCTGCGCTGGGGAGCTTGTAGTCCCGCGCTTGGGACTATCGCCATCTGATGGTGGAAAATGGTACCCACAGTGGCTCGTTGTTTTTTTAAGTCTTTTTTTTTTTCTGAGGAGCATTGGCCCTGAGCTAAGATCTGTTGCCAATCTTCCTCATTTTTTCCTTTTTTTCCCCAAAGCCCCAGTGCATAGTTGTATATCCTACTAGTAAGTCACTCTAGTTCTTCTGTGTGGGACGCCGCCTCAGCATGGCATGATGAGCAGTGCCATGTCCGCGCCCAGGATTGGAACTGGCGAAATCCTGGGCCGCAGAAACAGAGCACACGAACTCAACCACTTGGCCACGGGGCTCGCCCCATCACTGTAGATTAATTTGTGTTTTCTAGAATTATATCAATGGGATCGTACATTAAGTACTTGCTTTTATCTGGATTTGTCCCACCCAGCATAATTCGTTTTCAACCGTGGCTGTAAGTTTAATCGACCTGATTCTCTCAGACACACCAGACTCGGGACAGAGCAGACTCTCAAATATGACAAAAACAGATCCAATTGACACAAAGCTACTCTTATTTTTGGATACATCCCTGGGTTTTCCATTTTCCTACCCAGTCGAGGGAAACAGTTATCTATCTTAGGCCAAGTGAAATTCTTTGGGAGGAGTTTCTGGGTGGCACCAGGTGTGCATGGTTTTCTCAGTCCGGCACTTGGGACCCCAACACATTTGTGATCAGCAAGAGTCTGACGGCATAGGACTCAGGCCTCATCAGACCCGGCGGTGGGGTCACGGGGGGTGGGGGCCCTTCATCAGTGGTGGGGCTTGCTAAACCCACAGCCTTCAGGAAGATTTAACCAATGCATACAATTTCCTCCAAACGCACGCTTTTCCTGGAAGTGTCGAGTCGCTGCAGTGATCTCCCAGGCCTTCGCGTTGCTGTTGTGTGTGACTCTGCTGTGAGCTCCTACAGCCTTAGGGCTGCGGGTGTAGCCATGGGCTTAGAATCCCCTCAGTGAGGCTGGATTGGCACACGTCTGTCTTTCACAGTCCTTAGCTGTCTCATCGTCCACACTTTCCTAGTCAGTTTATTGCCACCAGCCACTGCACCCCATCCTTAGGAGTGGACAGAGTGGACCTGGCCCCCGGGGGCTTGTCAACAAGTAGGGGCACCAGGGCAGGCGCCCAGGGGCTGCAAAGCGAGGCTCAGTGGCATTATGCCTCCACCAGAGGTATAACCCACTTTCCCTGCCAGCACGAAAGAGGAAAAGGGCTTTCGGCTGGAGCCGACATGAGGCCATCCGTGGCCAGGGCCCAGTTTCGGCCTCGACGAGGTGAGCCAGAGATCAGGTACTCCAGCCCCGAGTAACCAGGCTTCCTCTCTGCAGACTTCTGGGGAAAGAGCAGCAAGTCCTGGCTGTTCCTGATCCTGCTCTTCATTGCAAGTTTTGGCTTCTACAGGTAAGGGGGATGGGAACGGCAGGGGTCCTGACGGCTGGTTGGGATTTATGACTTGTTTGACTTTACTTGATGAGCCTGGTTGGGTTTTTGGCTCACAATGACGATCCCAGAGAAGGAGTGACCAGGAGTGTCCTCCTCATTTTGCAGAATTCCTGGCCTCAAGTCCTGTCCCTTGACGGGGGTGGGGCTGAGACAAAGTTCCCAGCCAGCATTTGCTCTGCTCCCTGATGATTTACGGGCATTTCTAGGCGCCGGGTTCGCCGCCGGGTGTGTGAATAAACATGATTGTGGTTTGGAGGGCTTCAGAAGGCAGTTTATAGCCTTTTGGAAACACCAATTACATCAACACATGGAGCCCACATCAAACTTCAGCGACATGTATGGAAGACGATGACACCTTTCGACCGCATCGCATTCCCCTAGGTTATGTTTTAAAACAAACTTGGTAGTTGTAAAATTGCACTCCTTACAAAGATAGCACCCAGTGGACACCTTTTCCGTATGCCAGCTCTGGTTCCACAGAAGGTGAACTTGTCCCCAGCCTCCACTTTGCAATGGTGCTGAGTGTTTACAGGTAGAGCTCAGACCAAAGAAGGCAGGTTCACGTGGTCGTCAGCTTTCAGAGCTGTGCGCCTTTTCACTGCCCATTTGACCCCCAGTTCCCTCTTCATTGCATGCAGGTGAGTGTAGCGTGAGTGTCATGCATCCCCAGGCTCTAGCGCTTGGTGGGTAGTCGTGTCACCAAGAGAGACAGTGTATAGAGGAGGGTCAAGTCGGGGAGGGGGAGTACAGAGAAGCTTGTTTCAGACAATTGAGCTCCAGGAGCCTGCAGACGTCCAGGTGCAGATGGCACCCAGGAGCGCTCTGGCTGGAAATAAAGAACGTGAGGTACCCACACTGGGGGCTGCTGCTGTCTGAGAGCAGATGAACGCAAGAGGAGGTGGGCCAGGTCAGGCTGGGGATGTGTTGGGGATGTAGCCTCTGCATTCTTTCCAGGGGTCCTGATGGAGAGCGCCCCTTCTCGGCTTGCATCGTCTGCTCAGCTGGCTTCGTTCATTCACTCCCTCACTTGCTCACGTGTTCACTGTTTGCACACCTGTTGGGCCTCAGCCTGGGGTCCTGGGATGCCCAGGTGATTCAGAAACTGTCCCTACCCCCAAGGTAACAGTTTGGAGGAGAGAGGTGAGGTGGTGACACTCTTAGTCACTCTAACCCAAATCCCACCCAAGAAGCCTACAGCACAGGGAGGGGTCACTTCACAGGGAGACGGAGCCCCTTCGTGAAGGAGGGGGTGCATGTCCTGGGACCAGCAGTGCTTGGATGGGGGCCCTCAGGGCAGGGCAGGGGAGGGCAGGCCAGCGAGCCAAGCTGAGAGGGGGATTCCAGCCCCTGCTGTGTCCCAGTGCGGGGCCGGGGTCTCTGGGAGCCCTCTCCTCAGCCAAGCACTGGGGTCACCACAAAGGCTGCGATTCCCTCTTCTCTCTAACGCTTCACCCGAGAGCCGCCGGGTTCCAGGGGCCTCAAGGCCCTGACGGCTGTTTGAATTCTAGTATTCCGTATGGCAGGGTTGTTATAAAACAGAAAGGAGGCATGGTGTGCACCAGAGTGTACACAGGTCGCCTGGGGAAATTGTTGAAAGTAGAGATTTCCACCCACACACGCCTCCCAGCTGCTCGGGGCTGGATTCAGGGAGTCTGGAATTGCATCTGGAAACAAGCCCTGGGCTAGTCGTCATGCAGCATCCCGGTCTACAGAGGAAGGCCACGGGCACGTACAAGCACTTGTCATGTAACGAGATTGTGTTAAAATAGTTGAGATATCAGGTCGTGGAGGGGGGTGGGTAGCAGGGGTCTGCCTGGGCACCCCGTTCTCTCCTTCTACCAGAGTAAGATGTCCCGCTGGCTCTGCTTGGGCCCCGCCTCTGTTTTCTCAGGAGCCAGCAACCAAAAAGTCTGTTGAAGTCTCAGCCTCAAAACCACAGCCGTGCGTTCTCCCCAGCCCAGTGAGGACTCAGCCTCATGGTGTTCTTTTTGTCCCCCCAGCAATGTTTTCAACTGGATTCCCAGATGGAGGCAGAGAGAAGTGTCTCAAAGGTAATGGAGGACTCTTTGGAATCAAGGTGGTTCCTTCTAGAAAGATCTAGAACAGAAATAGAAACACAAGTATGTATTGAATTGGAGGTCATTATAACCAAAGAGACGCTCGGTTCCCAGTGTGACTCCTGGGGTCCATTCTCTACCATGTTTTCTCAAACCCTGAGAAAGGACAAAGGGGGCTGGCCCCGTGGCCGAGTGGTTAAGTTCACGTGCTCCGCTTTGGCGGCCCAGGGTTTTGCTGGTTTGGATCCTGGGTGCGGACATGGCACCGCTCATCAGGCCACACTGAGGCGGCGTCCCACACAGCAGAGCCAGAGGGACCTACAACTAGGAGACACAACTATGTGCTGGGGGCTTTGGAGGGAAGAAGAAGGGAAAAAAAGAACAAAGACTGAATCCTAATTTCTGTTGGAGATGACACGTTTACAACAGTAAAGATACTAGCCAGAGGGCTGCATCCCAAAGCCGGGGTTTGGGGAGAAATAGCACCCAGGGTTGATTCCATGTAAAGTCGTTTGCTTCTGCCGCCTCGATGGGGCCGGCCATGATGGGGCCCTCTGCTTCCATTAGGACAGGACAGGTGGAGGCTCATTTTTCCTCTCAGAACTCATTTCTCCTGGGGCCATCACTCTCTGGCTGAGCAGCAAACAGCAGGGAGGGAGCACCTAGTCAGTAATGTCAGGGACCAGCAGGGCAGGGCGCTTAGAGCCGCACCCTCCCTGCGGAGCTCCTCCCTCTGTCCAGCGCTCAAGGGGGCAGCAAAGCTTATTGGAGGGATGGTGGGTGAATGCGCTGAGCTGACGCGACTTTCTCCCAGCAGCTGTGAGGCCCACCACCTGCAGGGCCAGCGGGAGAGCCCGCCACTGAGGTAAGGACTTGCATTTTCTTCTTTTCACCCACACAAGTTGGCATTTCTGAGCCTGGCCCGGCGGTGGCAGATTTTGCTTGGTCTTCAGGCTGAGGATGGCCCCACCAGGCTTCGTCCAGGGGCCTCCCCTCCTCCCCTCCGTCAGGGAAGCTTGCCTGGGCCTGCTTGGGGCAGTGTGGGGCGGGGTCTGCAAACCTAGCACCGCTCGCTCGTCTGGCCATGCTGAGGCGGTGTCCCACATCGCAGAACTAGAAGGACTTGGCACTAGAATATACAGTGTCTACTGGGGGGCTTTGGGGTGGAGAAGGTGGGGGAGGAGGCGGGGGGGGAGGAGGAGGAGGAGGAAAAGAAGAAAAAAGATTGGCAACAGATGTTAGCTCAGGTGCCAATCTTAAAAAAAAAAAGATGCTACCTTTTCATGAAGTGACTCAGATAAAGGCAGGATAACTACAGCACACGCTGCTGGGGATAAAGGGGTCCGGGCAGGGGGCAGTAAGGGGTGGGAGCTGGACTCCCGGGGGTGAGAGGCCCAGGGAAGCATTGCCAGAGTTTCCCTTGGGATTCCAGGGCCAACCTTGGTGGCCAGGGCTCCTACTTTCTGGACTTGGCTCCTCCCCCATCCTAGAGAGGGGCTCTCCCCAGGAGGGTTTGTCACCCTCTGGTGTGGCATGCCCCTTGGGCAGAGCTGTGCACCACAAGCTCCCAGACACGGTCAGTGTGTGCACGGTGTCTTTGCCCTGCTTCCCACCCCTGGCCCCTGGGGAAGCCTGGCCGGTCCAGCACAGCAGGCTCCTCCCAGGACCCCGCCCAGCTCTGAGCCCTCTGCTTTCCTCCCTCAGCGAAGGGGACTGCTACCCAGACACCTGCAGAGTGCCCAGAGTGCCCAGGTATGGAGACCACATCTTTGGGCTGCTTCTGTGCATATTGCCAAGCAAGTCAACACCGGTTCCCCCTCCATTCCCTGCCTCAGCCCCTCTTCCACGGTCCGAGGGAAGAGGCGAGGGGGCGGAAAGAGGAGGGCAATGAGGAGGCATTAGAGGGTGGAAGCCACCCATGAGTTCCAGTTGACCTGAGGCCTCGTGGCTGCCCCCGCTCACATGTCTTACCTGAGGCCGACTCAGCTCTACTTCCCAGCCCTCAGCTCAGTTGAAATCTGGACTGAGGCCGGGGAGGGCGTGGAGCACACAGGAGGCTGCACGGTGGGAGGGGATAGGCGGCGAGGTGGATCCGGCCCAACTTAGGGGGTGGATGGGGTGGGTGTGTGCCAGCCCTTGTGCTTCCCAGCCCCTGAATAAAAGCAGGACATGGGGACCTTAGTCATCATGGGTTAGACCACGGGAAGGACTTACAAGGCACAAGGAGCGAAGAAAGAGCCGTGCATGGGTCTGTAACCTCAGCAGTTATCACAAAACAGTTAGGGAAGACCCCCGTTTCCTTTCTGCGTATTTCAGCCCAACAGTTTATCCCTGGGAAAGCACATGGCATCCTTGGGGCTGGGTGGGCATGCTGGCTGGGGGTTGGTCTGGTGAGTGAACCAAGGGCTTCCTGAAGGAAGGAGGGAGGGCTCCTGGCCAAGCTGGCACCCGGGGCAGGGGGACGGCAGCTTGTAGCCGAGGCGCGTGGACTAACCCGTCCCTGGTTCTCTACACGGGAGCCTCATTTCTCACTGTGCTCGTCTTCCGCAGGATGCTCTACCCCAAGGCCCATGTCCTCCAGCCCACGTAAGTAGGGGACTTCCTGCCGTGGCCAGTGGGTCCCTGTCACCGAGGACCTCGTGCTTTCCTTTCTCTCGCTCCTGCTGGCTCCAGTCTTCCTTTCCCTTTTTCCTCTTCTCCCTTTCATGGCTGTAGGAGGCCGGTTGGTTTTGAATGGGTTTGGCACAAGTTGAGGGGGCAAGGGAGGGGCCTCCAGTTCTTGGGGTCGGGAGCCGTGTGGGTGTGCACACCAGGCCCTGACCCTCTTCTCGTGTCTTCACGGGGAAGGAGGACGGGGATCCGGGCCGAGTCATCCCTGAGGTCTTTCCACAGGTGTCAATGTCAGAGAGACAACGGTTCCAAGCCAGTCTCCACATGCAAATGCCTGTCCCCAAATCCAGGCCTCCTTAGCCCGAGCCCACCCTCCAGCTGCCACTGCCTGAACGAGGGGCACCAGACCCAGAGCTTTGGCACAGCAAGGTGGCCCAGAGACCACTTTGACCAGCCCTGGCTTGACCAGCAGGGAAACTGAGGCTGAGAGAAGTGAAGGAGATTGCCTGAGGCCCTGCCACCAGTGAGGGGCAGGTCGGGATGCGAGCCCAGGCCCGTGGACTCGACAGCCCCACGGCTTCTGTCATGTCATGTCACCTCCCTGCCAGGAGAGCTGGAAATGCCATTTCTAGCCCAACACCCACATCTGCTTGAGTTTCTAGAGCCACCAGCCACGTGGGGTGATGAACGCTTGACACGTGGCCGATCTGGAATGAGATGTGCTGTCAGTGTGAAATACACACTGGATTTCAAGCACTTAGTACGCAAAATGAAATATATCTCGAAAAAAGTAAGATATCTCATTTTTAATTGAGATTGCATATTGAAATGATAATATTTTGGATATAGTGAGTTAAACAAAGTATACCAAATTAACCGTCATTTCACTCGGTTCCTTCTGCTTTTCTGTGGCACTAGAAAATTTTAGATTACATATGTTTCTGTTGGACAGCCTGATGTGGCGGGACAAGTTGGCACGAGTTTTTGGTGGATCCTGGTGGCATGATGCCACGAGGACCCATGAATGCGTGAGCACCGTGAAATCAGAATGGTGGGAGTGAGAGGACCCTATGCGGGCTAGAGGGAGATCAGGGGGTGCAGAGGGACAGACACAGCCCAGAGAAGATCGAGGGGCTGCAGGGGGCAGAGCCCTGAGATGGGAGGGGCTTCAAACCCAGCTTTGTCTCATTTCCTCTGCTCACAGCAAACATGTGGGTCTCCCCACCGAGCAGTGCTGACGCCGCCCGCAGTTAGCACAGACCCTGGGGCGAGGGCCTCCGTCCCACAGACAGCCCCCACCTCAGACACCAGTCACAAGGCCGGTTGTCCCCTGTGCTTCTGACCGACTGGCTGTAAACTAGGGCTTCCCGCTGACCCCGCCTCGGGTTCGGGAATTTGCTAGAACAGTCCTGGAACTCAAGAAAACAGTTGACTTACCAGATGCTCAGTTTATGATGAAGGACACAGCTCGGGAACAGTCAGAGGAAGAGCTAAATAGCGCCAGGTGTGGGCAGGGGCCAGAGCCACCACGCCCTCTCCAGGTGTGCCACCCCCAGCACCTGCACGGGTTCAACCAGGAAGCTCCCGAACCCCGTCGCTAGGGATTTTTATGGAGGCTTCATGGCATCGCACGATGTGTTATTAACTCAATCTCCAGCCCTCTCCCCTCCTGAGAACAGACGTGGGCTCAAGCTCCAGGCTTCCAGTCACAGCTTGGTCTTTCTGCTGACCAGCCCCCTCCTGAGCTACCTGGAGCCACCCAGAGTCTCCTCGTTAGAGCAAAAGGTGCTCCCATCACCCAGGAAATCCCAAGGGATTGAGGAGCGCTGTGTCAGGAACCGGGGGCAGAGACCAGATACATATTTCTTCTGATGGCCAAGTCTCCTCATGCTGGGAGAGGGCTTAGTTCTGCCCTCCCTGAGACTCTGCTCCTCCCTGGAAACGGGCTTGGGAGCCCTCATAGAAGGACTGCCCCGTGGGATCCAGCGCACACCTGGTGCTCTGGAGATGCGCCGAATTAGGGCAGTGAAGGAATTGGGGTTCGGGTCTCGGGTGCTGAGCTTATGGTGCAAAGAGCACTGGATTGGGAGTCTGGAGTCCTGTGTTCTCCGAGCTCTGCTGCTCACAGACTGTGCAACTTTGGACGAGTCCTTCCCTCGGTGGCCTGCATCCCCGCGCCCTGCTCTCACCCACTGTGCTTCCTCTCCTCCAGGAGGGTGGACGTGCTCCTCATGACTCCCTGGTTTGCTCCCATCATCTGGGACGGGACCTATGACTCTGCCATCCTGGACGCACAATTCAAAAACACCACCATCGGGGTGGTGGTGTTTGCTATCAAAAAGTAAGTAAGGTCCGGGCAGCTGGGCTGAGCAAGGGTGCTTGCCCAGGAAAACCAGGGAGCCGACCTGTGGTGTAGGGGGTGCTCCTCACCCGGGGTCTCTCATTTCCAGGATGAAGAGTTTGGCTCATGGGGTCGGGAGTGATGCAGAGGCCTGAGTGACTTTGTGTGTAGGAGAACTTGGTGGGATCTGAGGGGGCCACTAAGGCAGAACCCTGCTCAAAATAGCAGCCCCACCGCTCAGAGTCATCTGCTCCAGAGGTCGCCGTATCAACCTCTTGGAGATGTGCAGCTGACACGGACCACTCACGCGTGCCAGCCGCTCTGCTAGGAGCTTAACCCCAGCAGGGCCCAGGCGTGGGTGCCCTGGTACCCCAATCTGTTACCCAGGGAGGCCAGCTGAGGCTTAGCTTCTTAGTTAGCCGAAGAAAGTATACTATGTGGCAAAGCAGGCTCTGAGTTTCCAAGTTGCATTTCCGGCTTTGGGGTCTTGCTTGTTTGTTTCGAAAACTGGTTCGTATTTTACCATCCGTTTCCCACTGTCTTGGACACCTTTGCCCTTGGCGCGTGCGGGCCTTCCTCATTCTTTTTTACTCCATAGATGCTTCATTCCGCGCTGGAGCTAAGCGTTCTTTCAAAGTTGCCTCAGGTGAAGCCATGACAATAATGTTTGATCAGGGAACTTCTCAAACGAGCAGCAAAGTTGTGAGAATTTTACAGTGAATGCGTGCCTGCCCACCACTGAGAGTCCACCATTAACATTGTTATTTCTTTTTTTTCTCATTTTCTCCCCAGTTTTATTGAGATATAATTGACATGAAACATTGTATAAGTTTAAAGGGTATAACATAATGGTTTGACATATGTATATATTATGCAACGATTAGCCCAACACGTTTAGTTAATATCTGTCATGTCCCATAGTTACAGATTTTTTTTCTTGTGATGAGAACTTTTAAGATCTACTCTTAGCAACTTTCAAATATACAATACAGTACTGTTAACTGGAGTCGCTGTCAATGAGCAGCTTTATGAGTCAAAGATAAAATGTGGAAAGAGAGGCTTTATCAAAGGTTTGCAAACTAGGCTTGTAAGTTGATAGGTGAGCCCCTCTCCGGTCTTGGCGTGGCTGGGCTCATAAAGGCAAAACCCACAGGGTTTGCAAGGCTGCTGAGTCCAGTTTCTTCTTCTTTTTCTTTTCTTTTTTTTGAGGAAGATTAGCCCTGAGCTAACTGCTGCCAATCCTCCTCTTTTTGCTGAGGAAGACTGGCCCTGAGCTAACATCCGTGCCTATCTTCCTCTACTTTATATGTGGGACGCCTACCACAGTATGGCTTACCAAGCGGTGCCATGTCTGCACCTGGGATCCGAACCAGCGAACCCTGGGCTGCCGAAGCAGAACGTGCACACTTAACCACTGCACCACCAGGCGGGCCCTGAATAACTTTTTATTATGACTTTTCTCTTTATTTTTTGATTTTTAATTGTGGTAAGATACACACAACATAAAATTTACCATCTTAACATTTTGTATTTTATTTTTATTTATTTATTTATTTTTTTGAGGAACATTAGCCCTGCACTAACATCTGTGCTCATCTTCCTCTACTTTATATGTGGGACACCTGCCACAGCATGGCTTGATAGGTGATGTATAGGGCCGTGCCTGGGATCTGAACTGGCGAACCCCAGGCCGCTGAAGCACAGCGTACGAACCTAGCCACTACTCCACCGGGCTGGCCCCACATCTCGACTGTTTTCAGGTGTACAGTTCAGGAGTGTTAAGTATTCATGTTATGCAACCATCACTACCATCCGTCTCCAGAACTCTTTTGATCTTGCAAAACTGAAATTCTGTACCCATTAAACAATAACTCCCATTTCCTCCTCCCCAGCGTCTGGCAGCCACCATTCTACTTTGTCTCTATGAATTTGCCTGTTCTAGGTAACTCACACAAGTGGACTCATGTGGTATTTGACTTTTTGTGATTGGCTTTGTCAACTTAAAAAGCAAATTTTCCTGGTATTTTATCCTTGAAACAAGTTTATTCAGGAATACCCAAAAGAATTGCAATTCAGGAGGTGCATGCTATGGCCAATCGTAGGCAAATCCAGAAAACAAACAGGGGAGCTGCTTTTATAGAGAAAAATGGGGAGAGGCAGGGGCTGTTCTAAAAGAAAGTCCACTGGGGAAAGTAACATATGAGGGCAGGAACAACTTCTCATTGGCTGAGCTGCAGCGATTCTGATTGGCTGGGCTGCAGTATTTCTGATTGGCTGGGCTGTGACATTTCTGATTGGCTGAGTTGAAGTGTTTCTGATTGGCTGGGCTGTGGCATTTCTGATTGGCTCAGCTGCAGCGTTTCTGATTGGCTGAGCTGTCGCATTTGTGATTGGCTGTGCTGTTGCCAGCTCGGGAGAGAAGTCTCCCGGCAGCAGTAACTAGTTTTACTTCCTGTCCAAGACCCAAGCCTCAGTCTCTTCCTGCTTGGTGTAATTAAGGATGTGTCGTGGGGCATGAGAGCTGCCCCTGCAGGCCTGCCCAAGTCCAGTTTAGTTAAGGCTTCTTTGTTAATTTGCACAGCTTATTTCACTTGGGGTACCGTCCTCAAGGGATGCTATGGCTGTATAAGCCGTTTTGCCTAAGTCTGTTCTGCTGCTGCTGTTTGACTGTGTCTAACACCCACCCTCTCTTTCCTGGGGTGCTTGTTGGTCTTAGATATGTGGTCTTCCTGAAGCTGTTCCTGGAGACGGCAGAGAAGTACTTCATGGTGGGTCACAGGGTCATCTACTACATCTTAACCGACCGGCCGGCGGACGTGCCCCAGATCCCCCTCCAGGAAGGAAGGCGAGTGGTGATCCTCAAGGTCCGAAACTACACGCGCTGGCAGGACGTGAGCTTGCACCGCATGGAGATGATCAGCAACTTCTCCCAGCAGCGCTTCCTCCATGAGGTCGATTACCTTGTGTCCGCGGACGTCGACATGAAGTTCAGCGACCACGTGGGTGTGGAGATCCTGTCGTCTCTCTTTGGCACCCTCCATCCCGGTTTCTATGCCAGCGATCGCCAGCGTTTCACCTATGAACGCCGCCCATTGTCTCAGGCCTACATTCCGGAAGATGAGGGTGATTTTTACTATGCAGGAGGCTTTTTTGGGGGGTCAGTGGCAGAGGTTTACCGGCTCACCATGGCCTGTCACCAGGCAATGGTGGTCGACAAGGCCAATGGCATCGAGGCCGTGTGGCACGACGAGAGCCACCTGAACAAGTACCTGCTCTACCACAAGCCCACCAAGGTGCTGTCCCCAGAGTACGTGTGGGATGAGCGGATGCTGCGGAAACCGCCTTACCTTAGGAGACTGCGATACGTGGCTGTCCCCAAGAATCATGCACAAATTCGGAGCAGATGAGACCAGACTTTCCAGGAGACCCCACATATAAGGCTGTGGTATGCATCAGTGTTTCTACTTTTTGGATAAGGGATTGGCCAAAGATTCAATGAGTCGTCCCTCGGTTTCCTCTTCTGGAGTGGCTTCCACCACTCATCACACGAACCCAGCTCTGACTTTTCCTCCCCTCCCAGTCCAGCTTTCTGTCTCAGTGCTGCTCCTCCTTCAAGGTCCTGACAAAGTCACCTTCCCCGTGAAGTTTTCTTGGATTGTCTCCTCCTCCTGCAGTTGAAGTGAATTGCCCCTCCCCCTGCATTTCCATAGAACACTGGATGTATTCCTTTGGCTATATGAGCCCTCATGCCCAAATTCCCCATTGGTCTTGCCCATCATGATGCTAGCTCCTGAGGCAGAGGCTAAGATTTCTTCATCTTTATATCCATCAGTACCTAGCTGAGTGCCTTATGCCTGGAACTCAAAATATGTTCAATCTAAATTAAAGTGACCTTTAAAAACCTACTCTACCGGTGCCGGCCCCGTGGCCGAGTGGTTAAGTTCGAGCATCTGCTTGGCAGCCCAGGGTTTTGTCGGTTGGAATCCGGGCGCAGACATGGCCCACTCATCAAGCCACGCTGAGGTGCGTCCCACATGCCACAGCTAGAAGGACCCACAACTAAAATTATACAACTATGTACGGGGGCTTTGGGGAGAAAAAGGAAAAATAAAAGCTTAAAAAAAAAAGGAAAGGCTATTCTACCATGTTCTGAGACAAGGGGAGGCCCCGCTGCAAGCACTTGCTGAGTTTGATTTGTTTGTGTTGTTTCTTGGTTGTTGTCTTTTGCTTACTGAAGTGGAGTGCGAAAACTTAACCACTTGGCCACCGGCTGGCCTGATGGTTTCCTTTTTGAATCTTCTCATAGCATTTGGTATGTGGTCTAGATAGTCTAGCAGATTGAATTCACAGCTCTTCATTATTTTCTATGTTCTGGGATATTTGAATAATCTTGACTTTGTTTTTAGTCAGAAAAACCCATGGAACCGAGTGCAGTTTATGGCGGTAAATGTTTGATGAGTTTTTCTATCTCCTTCTATGGTACCTGAGCTCCTTCTGTTGTTAATTTATTGAAGTTTCTACTTCTTGAGTCAGTTTTGATCATTTTATATTTTCCTGGAAAATCTTCTATTTCATATTGATTTTTTAATTTGTTGGCAAAAAGAATGGCAGTGCAATTTTGAAATAACTTTAAATCTCCGTATCTAAAATCATATCTTCTTATTTCTACTGCTGTTTATTTGTGCTTTCTCTCTCCTTTTTTCTGACCTTCTTACACAGGTATCAGAGATTATTTTATTTTATTTTTAAAAAGCATCTGGCCTACTATTTGTTTGTTTATTAAATGGTAGTGTCTGCTTTCATGCTTATTAATTTATTCCTTCAACTTTATTTTAGTTTATTTTTTCCTAGCATTCTTGAGTAGAATGCCTGGTTAACAGGGTCATTTATTGGGAACACTGCTTGTTTCTGAGAAAAGCACATGCCTTCAACTTTCTTTTTGAGTAGAGGGCAAGTTGTGTCCCTCAGGCATTTATATCCAGTGTCCACGTTGTCACTCATTTCTAAATAGTCTGCTTTTATTTTCTCTTTAACTCAAAATTATTTAGAATAGTAATTTTTAAATTTCTAAGAAGTTAGTTTTTTCCTTGTTACGTTGTTTGTTCCTGGATATATAGTTTTGTAGTAGGAGTAAAGTGAGCTGCACAATTTCAACTTTGGGGAATTCGTTGAGTTTCTTTTCTGGCTTACAGATGGATCACTCAAAAAATTTTCATGGGTAGTTGAAAGGAATCTACACAAAATGGTACAAACACTTTGGAGAATGTCTGGCAATTTCTTATAAAGTTAAATATACATCTACCCTATCACTTTTTCTGATTTAATTTTTATGGAGTTAATGATAGGTTACAATCTTGTGAAATTTCACTTGTACATTATTGTCTGTCAGTCATGTTGTAGGTGCACCCCTTCACCCTTTGTGACCACTCCCCCACCCCCCTTTCCCCTGGTAGCCACTAATGTCTTCTCTTTGTCGACGTTTTCAAATTCCTCATATGAGTGGAGTCATACAGAGATTGTCCTTCTGTATCTGGCTTATTTCACTTAACATAATTCCCTCAAGCTCCATCCATGTTGTTGTAAATGGGATGATTTCATTCTTTTTTATGGCTGAGTAGTATTCCATTGTGTGTATATATACCACATCTTTATCCAGTCCTCACTTGATGGGCACTTAGGTTGCTTCCACATCTTGGCTATGGTAAATAATGCTGCAATGAACATTGGGGTGCATGGGACTTTTGGAACGGCTGACTTCAAGCTCTGTGGATAGATACTCACTAGTGGGATGGCTGGGTCGTATGGTAGTTCTATTTTCAATTTTTTGAGGAATCTCCATACTGTTTTCCATAGTGGCTGCACCAGTTTGCATTCCCACCAGCAGTGTATGAGGATTCCTTTTTCTCCACAACCTCTCCAACATTTGTCACTATTTGTTTTAGTTATTTTTGTCATTCTAATGGGTGTAGGGTGATATCTTAGTGTAGTTTTGATTTGCATTTCCCTGATGATCAGCGATGATGAACCTCTTTCCAGGTGCCTATTGGCCATCCGTATATCTTCTTTGGAGAAATGTCTGTTCATGTCTCCTGTCCATTTTTTGATCGGGTTGTTTGATTTTTTGTTGTTGAGTTGTGTGAGTTCTTTATATATTATGGATATTAACCGTGTTTCGGATGTATGACTTGCAAATATTTTTTCCAGTTAGTGGGTTGTTTTTTTGTTTCAATCCTGTTTTCTCTTGCCTTGAAGAAGCTCTTTATTCTGATGAAGTCCCATTTGTTTATTGTTTCCCTTGTCTAAGGAGAGATGGTGTCCAAAAAGGTCCATTTAATACTGATGTCGAAGAGTGTATGGCCTACATTTTCTTCTAGAAGGCTTATGGTTTCAGGTCTCACCTTTAGGTCTCTGATCCATTTTGAGTTCCTTTTGGTGAATGGTGAAAAAGAATGGTCAATTTTCATTCTTTTACACGTGGCTTTCCAGTTTTCCCAGCACCATTTGTTGAAAAGACTTTCTTTTCTCCATTGTAGGCCCTCAGGTCCTTTGTCGAAGATTAGCTGTCCAGAGATGTGTGGTTTTATTTCTGGGCTTTCAATTCTGTTCCATTGATCTGTGCACCTGTTTTTGTACCACTACCATGCTGTTTTGATTACTGTAGCTTTGTAGTATGTTTTGAAGTCAGGGATTGTGATGCCTCCTGTTTTCTTCTTTTTTCTCAGGATTGCTTTAGCAATTCGGGGTCTTTTGTTGCCCCACATGAATTTTAGGATTGTTTGTTCTATTTCTGTAAAGAATGTCATTGGGATTATGTCATTGGGATTGTGTAGAATCTGTAGATTGCTTTAGGTAGTATGGATATTTGAACTATGTTTATTCTTCCAATCCATGTGCATGGAATGTCTTTCCATGTCTTTATGTCATCATCCATTTCTTTCAGAAAAGCCTTGTAGTTTTCGTTGTATGGGTCTTTCACTTCCTTAGTTAAATTCACCCCAAGGTATTTTATTCTCTTTGTTGCGATTGTGAATGGTATTGTGTTCTTGAGTTCCTTTTCTGTTAGTTCGTTATTAGAGTATAGAAATGCTACTAATTTATGCAAATTGATTTTATACCCTGCAACTTTGCTGTAGTTGTTGATTACTTGTAAAATTTTTCCAATGGACTCTTTGGGGTTTTCTATATGTAAGATTATGTCATCTGCAAACAGCGAGAGTTTCACTTCTTCCCTCCCTATTTGGATTCCTTTTATTCCTTTTTCTTGCCTGATTGCTCTGGCCAGAACCTCCAGTACTATATTAAATAAGAGTGGTGCTAGAGGGCATCCTTGTCTCGTTAATGTTTTCAGGGGGATGGCGCTCAGTTTTTGCCCATTGAGTGTGATGCTGGCTGTGGGTTTGTCATATATGGCCTTAATTATGTTGAGGCAGTTCCCTTCTATGCCCATTTTCTTCAGAGTTTTTATCATAAATGGCTGTTGGGTCTTGTCAGATGATTTCTCTGCATCTATTGAGATGATCATGTGGCTTTTATCCCTCAATTGGTTGATGTGGTGTATCACGTTGATTGATTTGTGGATGTTGAACCATCCCTGTGTCCCTGGTATGAATCCCACTTGATCATGATGTATGATCGTTTTGATGAATTGCTGAATTCGGGTTGCCAAAATTTTGTTGAGAATTTTTGCATCTATGTTCATCAGCGATATTGGCCTGTAGTTCTGTTTTTTCGTGGTGTCCTTGTCAGGCTTTGGTATCAGCATTACGTTGGCCTCGTAGAATGTGTCAGGAAGTGTTCCATCCTCCCTAATTTTTTGGAATAGCTTGAAAAGGATAGGTATTAAATCCTCTCTGAAAGTTTGGTAGAATTCCCCAGGAAAGCCCTCTGGTCCTGGGGTTTCATTCTTTGGGATGCTTTTGATTGCTGTTTCAATCTCCTTCCTTGTGATTGGTCTGTTCAGATTGTCTGCTTCTTCTTGACTCAGCTTTAGGAGATTGTAAGAGTCTAAGAATTTATCCATTTCCTCCAGGTTATCCATTTTGTTGGCATATAGTTTTTTGTAGTATTCTCTTATAATCCGTTGTATTTCTGTGGAGTCTGTTGTTATTTCTCCTCTTTCATTTCTGATTTTTTTTATTTGAGCTTTCTCCCACTTTTTCTTTGTAAGTCTGGCTAGGGGTTTGTCAGTTTTATTTATCTTCTCAAAGAGCCAGCTCTTTGTTTCACTGATTCTTTCTACTGACTTTTTTTGTTTCCATAGCATTTATTTCTGCTCTGATTTTTATTATTTCTCTCCTTCTGCTGACTTTGGGCTTTGTTTGTTCTTCTTTCTCTAATTCAGTTAGGTGTAGTTTAAGATTGGTTATTTGGGATTTTCCTTGTTTGTTAAGGTGTGCCTGTATTGCAATGAATTTCCCTCTGAATAC